AGGCTGCGTACGGAAGACCCAAAGTGGTCGGACCCTTCCCCGGACCCTCCGCAAGCGGGAGCTATGTGCACCGGGCTGCCCTTTTTAATATGTCAAACATTCAGTACCTACTGTTTATCTGCTTTGGGTCGGGAGCTACGTGCACTGGGCTGCCCTTTTTAATATGTCAAACATTCAGTACCTACTGTTTATCTGCTTTGTATTAGCTGCACTGTTAAGTAACCTGTGAAATAAATCAAGGAAAAAGAAGCCTAGGTGTTAATTGTGTGTTTTACCACTGCCTAGCGATTATATCACCTAAGCGCACACTTGAGCGTTTTGTTTTTCACCAAGTAACGCGCCAAATCCAGGAATGTGCTTTGTACCAGCATTACCATTTCATTAGAATACACTGTTAGATCGAATAATCCAAGAGTGATGGAGACCCTTACCACAATCAATAAGTAATTTCTTGTGAAACCATAGGAAGATGGATGTACAAAAGAGTGATTGTGCAAGGCCCCAGTATTTAATGCAAGTAATATCTGTTCTCTTTGGTTTTAATAAATTCCGTATGTCAGTGGAAATCTAGAATATATTGCAATTGACCATGTTACCAAAAACTCTCATTGTTTGTGAGTGACTTGTTTGTGGGGAGATTACCAGTGGAAAATAACTGTAAGTTCAATAAGAGATAGATATCAAAACTTAGCATGATCTTAACTGAATAATTTGGCATTGAACTATTTGGAAGGAATGTTCTAATGGATCACGGTCCTGAAGACAACTTTCAAATTCTTCCTCACACTTATAGCTTCACATCCCAATAGCGAACATAACCAACCATCCGAGGTCATATTATTTGAAATTAAGCCATCGGAAGTCATATTATTCTTCCTCACACGTACAGTAACTTCACATTCCAGTAGAGAACATAATCAATCATCCGAGGTCAAATTATTAGCACTTGAGCCATCAAATTAGTCAACTATCTGATGACTGTGCGAAGGGCAGCTGAGTACTCGCCACCTGGTGGTGGAGCCAAGGTTGGGCCGGGCCCCAGACCAACCTAGGTCGGACATGATAAACAATGTCAAACAAATGCTACCATCGTCCTCAGGATTCCGGTGTTACGACCCAGGCCACGGCCTGGCTTTTGGCTTCAAATAACCTTACCAGTGTCAATATGCAGCAATTACAAGTATTTGAGGTTTCTGGTATCTACTCACGGTTGGATAAATCAGTGTTCAGTTCATCTTTTTGATCTATCATGGATAACTTATGTTGAGTAATGCATTAGAAATCAATGCATTAGGTTACGAAAATCATGTATTAGAGTTTTAGGTACGTAAATTATTGCCATTTTTTCGTCATCAATACGTGTGTTTGGAGATATTTGGTCTGACTTTACGTGACCCAGTTCATGTGGTAAGTTTTGTTTCGATTTGGGAAGATAATTAATTACTATCCTTGGTAGGATATAGAAGAATTATTGCTCATTTGTTGGTAGTGCTCACTGTTTATTGATGAGTTATGTTTACCATGCACAATGTGATTTGAGATTTCTTGGTAGGAGCTCCTTTTGTTCTTTTCACATGAGTGGTGAACATCCAAAACTTGCATCACTCTGTTCCGCTTACCATACGGATTGCCCACTTACCCTGTTGTCCATGAGATTATTTATAATAATTGGCGAGTATTGTCATGAAAGCTGCATATAGTTAAGAGCTACACCTGGGGTGTAGGTTCTTTGATACTCTTTATCTCTGTTAAGAGTTCACTGTTGGTGTCTCTGCTATGGATGTTAGTACAGTTCATCAAAGAAGCACCAGTTTCATTATGACTGGCTAATGGTCACATGTTTCTCAAGGACTTGGACTGGAAAGGAGGAGAGTTAATAGGATTAGAAAAGATCTCAGTTTAATAAGGAAAGATCTAATAAGTCTAATTGTATTGTCCTATTAGGACTTACGAGAGGTCAAGGGCCTAATCATCCACTATATAAAGGTGGCATGTATTTATCTACGTTTGAGACAGGCAATAACAGACAATCTACTCGCTCAAAGTTATTCTAGTTTCAAATTATGTCTACCCAGTCACCTGTAGCCATGCTGGCTATCTTCAGCACGGTAGTTATCCATTGCGAATCAAGGTCCACAACAGTCTTGGTCATTTCTCTCATTCTCTTTTGTTGGTTTTGGGTTGTGGCCCTTGGATTGGTGCGTTATAACTATTTTTCATCATAAAGGCGAATATCACCTTATTCGAAGTTCCAGAGAAAGTTGGCGACCTTATGGCCAACCTTAATCAAAGCCATATGAATTGTACGGTTGTGATAGGTGTGGAAGTAGTGGAACCAATCCTTCTAATGCAATGCTACAGCACATTTGAATATGGGTAGCAAAGAGCGCTTGTGCTCCAACTCAGACCAATCAACTTGACACCTGCACATCACCTCCTTGACTCGTACTATCCACTATGAGGACCATGCCTGTTGGCACAATACCCTTGCCTCATGGCTTTGTTATAGATAGTATCTTCTAAATGGAATGAGGCAGAAGGAAGCATCCGAAAAGGACGGAAACCTAGAAGTTTGTAATTTTGTCAAATGAGTTTCCAGATAGAAGCCTTGTGAATATTTTCTCACCAAACATCACTGTTTTCTTTGCTGCAGGGGTTTAATGTTCGCGGCGCTGTTCCATTCGGTTTTTGCAATGCTGCCCTTAATGTTGGCATATCAGCAGGGGTGATTCTACCTTTGAGCAGAGGATTTATGGAATTGCCTTCACCTGTCCCTGATAGATTTTACCTAGGAGGTCTTTCTTCCCCTGTATGCAGCCTTGGTGTGATATCATCTCTGTTGGGTTTCAAAACAAGAGGAGTTGGCCCATCCGAACCACAGAGATCTGTCCCAGGCGAGTCAGTTACGGTCGACGCTGCTGCCTCTACAGGGAGGGATTACTTGGGAGGCGATCTTGCTGTTTCTGCATTTGCTGATCTATCCTTTGATTTGCCCCTAAAGCTGTTCAGAGATAATGGAATTCATGGTCATGCATTTCTTTGTGCTGGAAATCTTGCCAAGTTGTCTGAGGGTGAGTTTAAGAATTTCTCATTCCCTGAGTTTCGGCGCACATTCAGAAGCTCTGCTGGTGTTGGCATTGTCTTTCCAACCTCACTTTTCCGGATGGAGGTATGTTTTGAGATCTCGATCTTTCATTATGCGATCCTTAGTGTTTGTTAGGTGACTAATCCATGCTATTGGGCTTCATTGTTCCAGTTAAATTACTGCCATATCTTGAAGAAACATGAACATGATCATGGAAAGAGTGGAATTCAGTTCAGCTTCTCCTTGGAGTAGATGTTAGAAAGTGGAGCAACATTTTTGACCTGTTGAAGAATATTGCGTCCTATTGCACTGAACCATTTATCTTCGTTGCTGAGTCAGCTGTTTAACAAGTACTCCCTCCGTCTGAAAAAGCTTGTCCCTCAAATGGATGTATCACCAAGTTAGTGCTAGATACATCCATTTGAAAGACAAGCTAGGGACAAGGTTTCTCAGACGGAGGGAGTAGGAGACTAGTCGATCCGTCATCCGATATATTTGACATCTCGTGGTATGATCGAGAACTGGAAGGGTGTTGGGTGCTGTATTAAATTTATTCGATTTCACGGTGTTGCCATGTTTTGAAGTTGTCTTATTGGCTTGATAGAGATTACGCTGTTGCTTTAAATTGTGATGGTTGATACTGGATACTCCCTCCGTTCCTAAATACTTGTCTTTCTAGGCATTTTAACAAGTGACTACATACGGAGTAAAATGAGTGAATCTACACTCTAAAATATGTCTACATACATTCGTATGTAGTAGTCATTTGAAATGTCTAGAAAGACAAATATTTAGGAACGGAGGGAGTAGAATATTACATGTTGTTATGTTGGCAGGAGTTTACATCATGGAGTTGGGAGGCCCTTCTACTTGTATGCATGCTTTTTATTCTGACCATTTTGACTGATTGTGTGTGCTCTATAGAATAGTACGTGTTGTCAAGTGTTGTGTGGTCGAGGTCTGAAGAAAAGCTCCAGTGTCAGGGCGCGCAAACAGCTGGTGAACTGGGCAGAAATCAGTTGCACATCTCATCAGGGTTCTTTGGTTTCTTCGGGGTTTCCTTTTCTTGAAAAAGCTATCTCTTTCTTGATTCCCACACCTCAAATGCACATCATCCCTCCTTGATCTGTTGATTCATCTGATCCACTATGGTCACGGTCACTCTGTTTGCTATTGTTAGCTTTGTATTGTACATTTGCACCACATAGTTGATCATGGTGGAAAACTGCCGACATGCTTGAAAAGTCTGTTCATTCTACACCAAACGACCAACAATTGCAGAAGTTCCAATTTACATGCTATCACTAGATCATGTCGTCGTATGTGTATCATCTTGGCAGGATCTACAGGTGAGGAAGGGTTGAGTGTCGACGGCCTTCATCGAGACTTCTCAAGTACAGTGGCCAGGTAGGCGTCCAGCTTCTCGTTCTGCTCCCTGGCGACGAACCTGATGCAGATGGGCGGCGTGACGTCGTACCTGGCGAGCAGCGCGTAGGGGATGGAGAAGAGCCCGTCACCGCAGATGAGCCCGGACGCGAGCACCGGCCCGAACGCCTGCGCGCCGTCCCTGTCCGACCTGGTCCACAGGTAGAGCACCAGGCTGCCGACGCACATGTCGATGGCCACCGCCGGCACCAGAAGGAACGACATGGCCATGCCGGTGACGCTCGGGATGAAGTTCCGCGCGCGCCACTTGTAGTGCACCGCCGCCTCCCGCAGCGCGCACACCGCCAGCGCCAGCACGAAGAAGCCCACGCTCATGCTCAGGCAGTGCCTGGGCAGGTCCAGGTCGCCGACGCCGACCACGGCGATGGCCCGGTAGATCTTGGCCAGCGGCACCTGGTAGATCTTGTTCCCGGCCTCCTCGTAGAAGTGGTGGAACACGGTGAACACGGCCGGGTTGACGACGCAGCCGATGCCGGTCCCGATGACCTGGCTCACGAAGAGCGCCCGCGGCGAGGTGAGCGTCAGGTACCCGGTCTTGAAGTCCGACATGAAGTCGGAGGCGGTGGAGACGACGGACGAGACGACGCCGCAGATGACGAGGCTCCCCACCACCCCGCCGTTGCCGTACCCGATCCACGACGCGAACAGCAGGATCACCAGCTTGCTGTACTGCGCCGCGAAGTTGGTCTCGGCCACGCCCGTGCCGTAGGCGTTGCAGAAGGCCAGCAGCGGCGCGAACACGTACGCCGTCGCCACGTGGTAGTGCCGCACCTGGCCGTAGAGGCGCGGGATGGCGACGGTGGACAGCAGCGCCAGGGCCGCGTAGCCGCCCATGGCCAGGGTGCCCGGGACGTGCTCCCGGAGGAACACCTGCGTCCGGCGCCGGTCGTCGAAGCTGAGCACGTTGCGCGGCACCGCGTTGGCGTCGGAGAAGGACCGCAGCGCCTCCGCCGCCTCCAGCTGGTGGTGCCGCATCGTCTGCAGGGTCCTCACCATGATCACCACCAGCTGGAAGATGCCGTCGCCCAGGATCATGCCTATGGCGCCAAACACCTGAAATTACATTAGCAGTCGGATGGAGCGTGCGTGCATGTGCTCCTCGTCGAGATCTGTTGGTCGATCAGAAACTACGTACCTTGTAGCCGTTGATGCCACGCAAACTGCCTTCCTGGAGATCGGCGGCGTACCAGCTCCCCTCTTTGGTTTCGATGTAGGGCCACATGAATCCCCAGGAGACGATGGCCCCGACCAGCATCGAGATGTTTATCAGGTAAGGGCTGATCATCCCGACGCCGACGTATGTCCCGTTCAAATTGAGGTAGAAGCTGCATGCAAATGCAAGTATCACACAACACAAGTAGCTTTCACTCATCATCTCTAGCATGTAGTTTTCGGTTGGAGTGCGACATGTAGAATGATGGATGGATAAGTTACGTACCCGCGATTGAAGGCGTCGAGCCCAAATGAAGGGAAGAAGGTCATGCCACAATGCGGTCCGCCGGAGTAGAACCATTGGAAGATGGACATGAGAAAGCTTCCCAGGCACGACTGGATCATCAGAGACACTTGCTTCCTGCGTTATGAAACAGAGGCACTCCAATGCATTACTCAACCCAGCGTTATCTTATCTTGTTGCTTGCTACTGGAGTTGAGCAGGAGCTAGGTTTCATGCATGTGATTTAGTAGCTCCGTACGTGCTTACTTTGCTTGCATGGCTCCGTAAGGGGTATGGAAGCTGTTGATGAGGTGAGCCGTAGCTGAGCCGCTCGGAAACGTCAGCCGGTGCCGGATGATCATCGTCTACACGTTAACCGGCCGGCGGCGCAGTAGGAATGCATCAGAGAGCTATAAGTTAAGGTGCACGTACCGACGTACGGTTCAAGTTTTATCTCATTGGCGCCGCACGTAGGTAGGTACCTTCCTCATGGGGATAATGGCGAGAATTCCGACGAAGCTGATGAGGAAGTAGAAGGCCATAATCCGGGGTAGCGTCGGCTCGCTGACGTTTCTGCCGTGGACCTCGCCGGTGTTGATCTTCTCCGCCGTCCTATGGTCCATGGCGAGCAGGTACGACCCGAACCCTCCTAATCAATTAACAACGCCGCAAACACACGCGAAATCAAGGCACCGGCCGAGCAGAGGAGATTCATGGCCGACGATCGACCGACGTGGCAGGCGAGGGAGGCGTACCGCTGTAGGTCATGCTGGCGCAGGCGACGACGCAGGTCTGGACGACGACGTTCTCGTGGCGGGTGAAGGGGACGTAGGACACGCCGAGCTTGTCGAGCAGGCGCGTCCACGCCTTGAGGAGGAAGAAGCCCAGCAGGCCGGCGGTGATGTTCAGCGTGGGGACGATCCCCGACGTGAACACCAGGTTCATCATGACGCCGCTGAAGGCCGCGCCCAGGACCAGGCTCGCCACCACGGCGCGCGGCGTCACCTGCTCCGTCCATGGCGGGATGGTCTGCTCCTCGAACGCGCGCTCCGTCGACGGCCCCTCCCGCGGGTCGCCGATCGGCTCCATCGATTATCGCCCCCACGCCTGCGAGCGAGTGCCGGCCTCTATCGCCCAGGTTGTGCATGCAGTTGACTATTTGGGAATGGAGGAGCGACGAACGAACATGAGGGGTACATCGTTTGGCTTCTGCAGTTACTATTATTGACGCCCTAATGGGAGTGGCCTGTTCAAGCAGGGACAGAACCTTCTTCTGTTCTTCATACTCCCGGAACAAAATTATAGAGGGGAGCAATATAGAGAGTGGTTTCCATCGTTCGTGATTGCTCTGAGATCCGGGCTACTTTTTAGGTTGTCAAGATTAACCTGGTTTTAAAATGTTTCGTTCGGTTTTGTCTTGTTTCAATGTGTATCATCATGTTTCGTTGTGCACCAATAAAAAAGAATGCACTTGTTTTGAATCTGGTTTGCTGATACACGGTTATACGCAATGAAACATTAAGATATACTTTGAAACTGAAAGAAACCCCAATGTAACTCTTTGAAACAAGACAAATTCTGAAAACAACAAAAATGTAGCATGAATCTCAAAGCAACCATGGACGACGGATCCATGCACAGTATCCTCTGCACACTAGAATAGCTTTTCTCTTTATATGAAAATAATAATGCATTGTTTTCTTTTGCGGGGAATAATGCATTGTTGGTGTAATGAAAAAAAATCATAACTTGGCACTATGCAAATCGATGAGATTGCCGAGTGTCCTGCTCTTTGTTGAGTGTCTGCATTCTGTCGGGCACTCAACAAAGGCCCTTCTAAAACTGAGTGCAGTGGAAAAAGCACTCGGCACAAAGCCAACACTCACCATAGTCTTGCCTTTGCCAAGCGCAGACTAGAAAACACAACAAAGAGTCGGGTACTCGGCAAACACATAACACCTCTCCCAGCTCACGACGGTTGACGGAGGGTTGACAATGTTATCGTGTCTGTCGATACAAGGTTTACATGGGAAACCCAGACACATACAGCAAATAAAAAACAACGGCCAACTTTTGATCGACATTTAAGCCGCACATGAGGACTGAGTGCTGGACTATAAATTTTCACAAAAAAAGGACCATAAATATGTTGTGCACCTTACTGTATCAGCGTGATCTTTTGAATGAACTGGATTCAAAATTTAAACCCTTTTTTGAAAAAAAATGAAAAATCCAGCACCCCAAAAAAGGAGCTGGACAGTGGTATCCTTGGCCCGCCAGAGTTCAAGTTCTGGTGCTCGCATTATTCCTGGATTTATTTCAGGATTTTCGGCGATGTGCTTTCAGTGGGAGAAGACTTTTCCGTCGACGACGAGGCGCTTACGGTGACTTCGTAAATCTCAAGATGATATGTCGGCTCAGTCGCTCAAAGGTGCTTATAGGGATAGGGTGTGCATGTGTGCGTTCATAGGAATAAGTGTATGCGTGTGTATATGAACGTTTGCATCTGTACTGTGTTAAAAAAAACAGTTCGAGAGGCTTGAGATATGAACAAGTGAGTACAGGGTTTGAACGAGTATTTCAGACACGCAGTTAAAATTAGCAACGTGCCGTAGCAGATGGAGATGCATGAACTCCAAAAAAAACAAGATCGGGGCCGAACTACGTGTTGAGAATGTTCAGGATCTTAAACAAACAAAGGTATGGCTCCAGCGTTACCTCGAGGGCACGCCCCAGTTTCTGACGAGACCGGATCACCGGAGTAGTATAAATCAAGCAGGTAGCAGCAGCGTCCCATATCCAAAGCAAGAAGCAAGCCCCTCTGCCTTGTGAACGAAAGAGCTAGCTGCCTAGCTGCCAACAATGGCCGTCCCGGCTAAAGCCAGCAGCTCCTTCTCCATGGCCTGCCTCTTGGCCGCCATCTTCCTCCTCTCCTCGGCGCCACGGAGCCACGGCGGCAGCATCGCCATCTACTGGGGCCAGAACGGCAACGAGGGCACCCTGGCCGAGACCTGCAGCACCGGCAACTACGCCTTCGTCAACATCGCCTTCCTCTGCAGCTTCGGGTCGGCCCAGCAGACCCCGCAGCTCAACCTGGCGGGCCACTGCGACCCCTACTCCGACGCCTGCACCAACCTCACCGCCGACATCAACCTCTGCCAGTCCAAGGGCGTCAAGGTGATGCTCTCCATCGGCGGGGGCGCCGGCGGGTACACGCTCAACTCCGAGCAGGACGCGGCCGACCTGGCCAAGTACATCTGGGACAACTTCCTCGGCGGGAGCTCGCCCAAGCGGCCGCTCGGCGCCGCCGTGCTGGACGGCGTCGACTTCGACATCGAGGGAGGGAACCCGGACTACTACGGCGCGCTGGCGGCGCACCTCAAGGCCTACGGCGGCAAGGGCAAGGGGGGCAGCAAGGAGGTGTACCTGTCGGCGGCGCCGCAGTGCCCGTTCCCGGACCAGTGGGTCGGCAAGGCGCTCGAGACGGGCCTCTTCGACTACGTGTGGGTGCAGTTCTACAACAACCCGCCGTGCCAGTACGTGCAGGGGGACACGGCCAACCTCATGGACTCGTGGAAGCAGTGGACGTCGGGGGTCCACGCCAAGTACATCTTCCTCGGGCTGCCGGCGGCTCCGGCGGCGGCGGGGAGCGGGTTCATACCGGCGGGGAGCCTGGAGTCGCAGGTGCTCCCGGCGCTCAAGGGCTCCAGCAAGTACGGAGGGGTGATGCTGTGGTCAAAGTTCTACGACGACCAGGACGGCTACAGCTCCGCCATCAAGAACGCCGTCTGATGATGATTTGATGATCGATCGCATTCCTGCACAATTCGGGTTATGGGCATCGACAGTGTGTGTATAGTTGTGGCGCATGTGTGGTCTGGCAATTGGCGTAGTTGATTTATCTGTGCACGCAGCGGGATTTATATCGAATAAAAGGATTATTTGTCACATCTACAGTGTTCTGCTCCTGGACTTACAGTCATTAAATCATACTCACCCTCCCATAATATAAAATGGTTTTTTAAGCTAAAACAGCTTGCAAAAACATCTTACAAACAGCTTGGTCCCAGAGGTTGTAATTCAGAAGAACGCGCCAATCATTTTCAAATGATACAAGACGAGATCTGTGGCCGAGGCACTCTCAAATAGTAACACATGGATCAACGACATCAGATGTACACTTCCTGTCCAGGCCACTGGAATTCATGGACTTGTGGCGTCATCGTCTCGTACAGGATGCTGCCCTGCGGCAGTTTATTCAATTGGCCAAGTCATATCCGGTTGCAAAAATGCGAATCAGTAAGCCAGGGATTAAATAACAGTTTATTATACAACATTATCAATGCAGGAGCAAAAAAAAGATTATCAATGTTTAAAGCTTCCTTGCCTGGCGATGAACAAAATGAAGCTGGAATACATCATGTGTTCAGCACCCCAGAAGAGGTTGTTCCCATCAAAACATGGCAGAATCAAGTTTGCCCATACATACATTGATACATGATCCACAGTGAAATACATGAAGACGACAGTTTCTATTTCTTGTATTGGCATCCGAACATGAGCTCGTTTACACAGCAGAGGAACCAGAAACAAAAATGGACAACAAAAGAGAAGCGCCGCGGTTCTCTTCGTTGTCGTGGACGATTATACAAGCCATGAAACGTCATTTTATCATGTAACTTATTCTTCTCAGTCTCATACTGCTGCTGTACATGGTCACATGGACTTCCTTAGATAACCATCGTATGGTATTTCAGATAATTATCGGGTGATATTTCGCAGACTTGTTGAACCAAGAACTTAGCCAACTGATCCCTCCAGCTTCAGGTTCATAAGTGCATCCACCTCCTGGGCAAACTCGTAAGGAAGGTGTTCAAAGACAGCCCTACAGAACCCACCGATCATGGCTGCAACGGCCTTTTCATGATCTATCCCTCTTTGCTGAAAGTAGAATAGCTGATCCTCGCCAATTTTGGATGTGCTTGCCTCATGCTCAACACGGCCACTAGTGCAACCCACCTGTTGCCACGAAAGTTGGGTCAAAATCATACTATAAATGAGGTTTTCTGATGAACTGTTATTAAAATGATGGTAACCAAAAAACTGGTATGACTACTTGTCAGAAAGAACTGTTGTTAGCATGTGGAGGTCATGTAAATATAGTACTGGATGCACACTTATGCAAGTGCAGTATGAGATACACATGCAGCTTAGGCCTGCGGAAGATAGGAGTTGTTGATCCCAATATTCGTGCAGCTTATGCAAGTGGTTGCATAAGTTAGAATAAGAATAAGCATGACAATGCGCATGTGCCCCTTGAGATCATAGGGACATCAGACGAAGCATCAAGATTGACCGGTAGACCTAATTGAGTAATTCAGCCAGCTATAGAAGTCTATTTAGCATGGATGTATATGTAAGATTCTGGAAGTGCACTAATAAAACTAATAAAAGATAATTCATATATTTGCTAGGTATATCTGTATATACCTAAAAAAAAGTTAGGTGTGAAGGAGAACATTATGAAATTCAGCACTGAACTTCCCATAATGCCTATTAAACTTGTTTTGATTAATGATTATATGGCTCATATGCCTTATCAGTCTAACCATAAAACTTCCATCAATGAGTTGCCAAGTTTCTCTCTCTCTCTAAGTCAATGCAAGAAATCCTACCCTATTATTTTCTTCCATCATTATCATGACAACTTCTGAGTGTGCTTTTAGTATGCAAATGACAGGAGTGTTTATAAGGTTGCACAGATCAATGCTATATCAAGATACTGATACCTTCTGAGTTCCAGTACATGTGGGAGTTCAATTCGGAATTAGGCAGAATACCATTAACATTTATCTTGCATGTCTAAAACTTAAATGGAGAGAAATTTAATTTTACGCTAGGAATTGTTATGGATCAGCCTGGGAAGGGTTTGAAGACCAGTGGCAACACGTGCCCTCAACTAGCCCCTGCAGGGCATGATCCCTCTCGTGGTTACGAGAAAAGGCCCTTTATATAGCAGATATTGAACTATTGTATGAAGAATTTGATAAATTAAGAGTTCTACTAGAATGATCGATGATTCATTGCTTGACTACAGGAGACTAACTTGCGCACAAGTCGGAGCACAACTCAAACTCTTCACAGACCCATAACTCTATCAAAGTTAATTGGACTCTTCCTAGTCTAAAGACCCATCTAATCCAAATCCAACATGAATACTTCTCTTACTGTCTACCCTAAGCTTGCCCTATCCTGTGCCTTAATGGATATGCACACATGAGGCTGCTATCGCACACGCACACACAGGCTGAGTCCATGTTGCTGCTGCTGGCTTGTGACAGGCCGCTGCGGAAACCACCCCACATAACAAATGGTACCCTCAAACAACCAAATTATCAAAGCTCCTTAATTCCTATATCATGTCAGCGCATAGTTTTGCCTCAAATTGTATATATACTATATGTACCACAGAGGTCCCAACTCCCAACTCTATATGTACTTCGATACTTGTTAGCAACTAACCACAAATTAGTCACAGAGACAGAGCCTGCCCTATGCCAGCAATCAAACCTTGCGTACCAAACTAACCTAGGACAGAGAAAAGGCCCTTTATATACGTATCAGATATTGAACTATATCCACACGAGCAATTCAATAAATTACTCCCTCCATTCCACAATGTAGTGCTTCCTCTATCCTCGTGCTTCAACTTTGACCGTAAATTTAACTAACAAGACCGATTGCGTCGGGAGCAAAAGTTATATCAGTGAATTCGTATTCAAAAGAAGTTTTTTAATTATGTAACTTTTTCTCCCGCCGCAATCGGTCTCGTTCGTTAAATTTATGGTCAAAGTTCGACCTCGGAAAGCGCGGGCGCACTATATTTTGGAATGGAGGGAGTATGAGTTCCAACTGAAGTTCAATTATCTGTTGCTTGGTTGAAGAGTTACACAACTGCCCTTTATATAGGTGACTGACGCAACCACAAGCTAGAGCACAACTCAAACTCTTCACAGAACCATAACTCTATTTTCCTAATTTAATTGGATCTTCACAGAGTTATACAGCATGAATGCTTCTCTCAAGACTATCTCTAAGCATGCCATATCCTATGCATTAAAGGATGCGCAAACATGAGGCTGCTATTGCACACGTAGGCTGAGTCCATGTTCTTGCTGTTGCTGGTTGTCACACGGCCACTGCACAAACGGACCCATAACAAATGGTATCCTCAAAAAATGAAATTACCAAAGCTCCTTCATTCCAACATCATGTCAGCAAAGTTTTGCCTCAAATCTTATCTACTACGTGTGCAACTGAGGTCCAAAGTCTATGTGTGCTTCACCACTTAACAGTAACTAACCGCAAATTAGGCACAGAGACAGAGCATGAAAATCTTATCTACAACGTGTGCCACTGAGGTCCCAATTCTATGCGTGTTTCACCACTTAAGAGTAACTAACCACAAATTAGGCACAGAGACAGAGCATGACAGCAACTGAACCTTGCACGCCAAGCTATGATAATTAAACATGTAATTAAGAAGTGGAAAGTACCTGAATGGTGGGATAGGTGTTAGCAGCAGCGTTGTCCCCAATCAGCAATGAATCACACTGCGAAGAATTATAAGCATTCTCTGCACCTGAATTCATCTGGACCAACCCACGGTAGCAATTCCTTGACTTCCCTGCTGAGATGCCCTTGGATATAATCCGGCTGCGTGAATTCTTCCCCTTATGGATCATCTTCGTCCCTGTATCGGCCTGCTGGTAATCCTTGGTCAGCGCTACGGAGTAGAACTCTCCAACAGTGTCGTCCCCAACAAGCTCCACACTTGGGTACTTCCAGGTGATTGCTGACCCTGTCTCAACCTGTGTCCATGAGATTTTCGAGCCACGCCCCTTGCACCGCCCCCTCTTGGTCACAAAATTGTAAATGCCCCCTTTGCCCTCCTCATCGCCAGCATACCAATTCTGCACGGTGGAGTACTTAATCTCGGCCCCCTCTTCGCACACAAGCTCCACCACCGCGGCGTGGAGCTGGTTGGAGTCATATGCTGGAGCAGTACAACCTTCCAAATAGCTAACCGTGCTCCTCTCATCAGCCACAATCAGAGTCCTCTCAAACTGCCCGGTCTCCTTGTCATTGATTCTGAAGTAAGTAGATATCTCCATGGGGCAGACCGTGTCCTTGGGCACATAGCAGAAGGATCCGTCACTGAACACGGCTGAATTGAGCGCGGCATAGTAATTGTCACCAGGCGGCACAATACTCCCGATGTAGCGCTTGATGAGGTCCGGGTACTCACGGATGGCCTCGGAGATGGAGCAAAATATGACGCCCTTGGCCATGAGCGCCTCCCTGTGGGTGGTGGCGATGGAGGTGGAGTCGATGACGGCGTCGACGGCGACGTTGGAGAGGCGCTTCTGCTCGCCGAGAGGGATCCCGAGGCGGTCGAAGGTCTTGAGCAGCTCGGGGTCGACCTCGTCGAGGCTGTTGAGCTTGGGCTTGGTCTTGGGCGCGGAGTAGAAGCACAGGGACTGGAGGTCGACGGGCGAGTAGACGTTGTCGCTCCAGGTGGGCTCCGCCATGGTGAGGAAGCGGCGGTAGGCGGCGAGGCGGAAGTCGAGCATCCAGGCGGGCTCCGCCTTGAGCTCCGAGATGCGGCGGACGGTGGCCTCGGAGAGGCCCTTGGGGATGGAGAAGGACTCGAAGTCGGAGACGAAGCCGTACTTGTACTCCCGCTTGAGCAGGTTCTGCAGCGCCTCCGCCTCGTCCGCCGCCGGGGACGACGGCGACGGCGACGGCGACGGCTTCTGCGGGCCCGTCTGCACGGCCACCACCGAGAGGCGGCCGCGGCCGCGCGCGTCGACGCGCCGCCGGGGCCCGCCGGACGGGCGCCCCGCCCCGAGCCTGGCGGTGAGGGCAGACGGCCCGAAGAGGGACGTGGAGGCGGACGCGGAGGCGGCCATGGTCGGTCGCGGCCGGCGAGGCGGAGGCGGAGGCGAATTTGGGAGGGAGGGGATGAGCGGAGGGGAGACCGTGGGATGAGAGAGAAGCGAGGGGAGGGAGGGGAGTTGTTGACAGGGAGAGGCCGGAGCGGTGGCACGGGCGTATGGTCCGCGCGCGCCGCTGGGCCCGGTGCCGGTGGCTCGGGCGCGTGCCCACGGCGTTGGCGAACCAGGTCCAGGGAGGGCCGCGCTGGCGGGGCAGCGGTCGTGTGGCGGCCGAGCGGCGGAGCACGGCACCGGATGGGGTTCGCGACACGTGGCTTTCCTGGAGAAGCGCTAGAGAACACAGATTTTCCATCCTTCCATTTATCGGTTTTTTCCTGCCGCAGACGGGTCGGAGCCACCGAGGATGGGCCCGGGCCGTCCAGATGCGATCCGACGTCACCCGGCCGCGGATCGAGCGGCGCGGAAGCCCGGCGGCTCGCCCGCCCGGGCCCGCGGGCCCAACGGCCCCCCGTTAACTCGCCTCACTCCTCGCACTCGCTCCCGTGGCGTTCGCATCTCGTGAGTGGTCTCGCCATGGCCGCGTCCTCGCTGCTCCGCTCGCTCTCCCGCGTCTCGCGCCGCGGCTGCGCGCCCGCGTTCTACGGCCGCGGCCCGCTCTCGCCTCTCTCCACCGCCGCGGCGGCTGCGGCGGCCGACGCGAGGGATGCTGCTGTGTTACCGAGGGGGCTCGCGGGGCTGGGGCCGACGGCCAAGGGGGAGAAGGCGCGGGTGGTGGTGCTCGGAACGGGGTGGGCGGGGTCGCGCCTCATGAAGGACCTCGACACCACCGGCTACGACGTCGTCTGCGTCTCCCCGCGCAACCACATGGTGTTCACGCCGCTGCTCGCCTCCACCTGCGTCGGCACGCTCGAGTTCCGCTCCGTCGCCGAGCCGCTCGCGCGCATCCAGCCCGCCGTCTCCAGCTCCCCGGGCTCCTACTTCCTCCTCGCCCGCTGCACCGCCGTCGACCCCGACGCCCACACGGTGAGCCCGGTTCCTGGGTTGGTTGGTGAGAGGCGCCGCGCGCGTTGATCCTGTCAAACGGGGGTCGCTTTTACAGATGTGGAATGTGTGTCCCCGAGATTCGTGGAAGGGGATGATACTGTGCGCGCAGTTGTGCTTGACCTTTTCTGATGTCCATAACCACGTCCGGTCTTTTTGGGTATTGGATGGGGCAAAGGAAGAGGAATCTGCGCTTTCCTCCCATTCAGCAGGAGCTGCATGTCTATTTGCCTATGGCGCTATGTAGCACGGTTCTCCATAGCTCTATGCTAATGGAATGAGAGAGACAGAAAACTTGTCACCAGCTCCCACTCATTTATGACTTTGTGGATATTTTCTAACTTTACCAGTACTAGCTTAGAATTCATTTCCCCTAGGCCAAAACTCTTGAACACGGTTACACGGGGAAATCAGCTGCAGAGAAAAAAAAAAGCAAACTTGTTTATATTCATTCATCACACGCCAGGTCTTCTGTTTCTTACATATTCACACAGTATGCACATGAGACTTCTATATCATTTGGCTTGTTCATGCAGTAGCATCAAGTAACTTTGCTTGCTCAGGAGCCTGTCTATTAGAAGATTCACTCCGCAACTTATTAGACAGTTCCTGCTGGCTTAGTGCCTAACACTGCTGGGCATCTCTATCACTATACAAGGGAATGGATCTTCACAATTTCGAACGCTAGACATTTACTTATGAGGGATTTGGCATATTGCATGATTTTTTTACGAACAACATGAGCATTTCTCCCCACAGCTTTTACATACATTTGCTCAGACACGTTTGGTTTCAGATTGAGTGTGAGACAGTTACTGAAGGTGAGAAAGACACCTTGAAGCCGTGGAAATTCAAGGTTTCGTATGACAAGTTGGTCTTTGGATGTGGAGCTGAGGCATCGACTTTCGGTATACGTGGTGTTACTGAACATGCAACCTTTCTTCGGGAAGTTCATGACGCTCAAGAGATCCGCAGGAAGCTCCTTCTGAATCTGATGCTGTCTGATGTACCTGGTATGGTAACAGCTCAATATGTTTCTAATCACCCTTTGCTAGCACAAAGTCGTCAATTATTACTTTCCCACTTTGTTGTTCTCCATATAATGTTTTTTTTACTTAAGTCAAGTGGATACAGTTGCGTGTACTTTTTGTTCGATGAATTTTGGATAAATCTATGTCACCTCGCATATGCTTCATTTACCGTACTTTTTAATCGATGAATTTTGGGCAAATCAATTTTTTATGTCTCATATGCTTCATTTTCAGAATATAGCTTGTGTGCACAAACATGTACTCCCTCCGTCCGGAAATACTTGTCATCAAAATGAATAAAAGGGGATGTATCTAGATGTATTTTAGTTCTAGATACATCCCTTTTTGTCCATTTTGATGACAAGTATTTTCGGACGGAGGGAGTAATACCCATTTGATTATTGCTGATGGATCAATGCTATTTTGTTAAACAGGCATATCAGAGGGCGAAAAGCGCAGGCTATTGCACTGTGTTGTTGTTGGAGGTGGTCCAACAGGGGTTGAATTTAGTGGGGAACTTAGTGATTTCATCACCAGAGATGTGAAAGAACGTTACTCACATGTGAAAGATTATGTCCATGTGACCCTGATTGAGGTTTTTGTTGTTGATTTTTTTATTCGTTCCCTACTCTTGTTGAATTTGGGACTTAACAGCTGGTATTCGGCTTTCATTTCAGGCAAATGAGATATTGTCATCATTCGATGTTCGCCTCAGGCAGTATGCTGTAAACCAACTAGTTAAGGTCAGTAATCTTTGTTCGGTATCTTTAGCCATCATCAACCAAGACTTGGGGACTAGTAGGTTTTCAAATAAGGCATTCAGATCGTCCCATGATATACATAATTGGTAGTTGTAATAGCTGTGTATCATTCTCTCCCATATCATTTGGAATATGAATATAACCTGCCCTTGCATGGTCATCCACCAGTCAGGTGTTAGGCTTGTACGAGGAATCGTGAAGGATGTACAACCCGACAAATTAATCCTGGACAATGGAGAAGAGGTTCCTTATGGTTTGCTGGTATGGTCTACTGGGGTTGGTGCTTCATCATTCGTCAAGTCATTGCCATTTCCCAAGTCACACGGAGGAAGGTATAATTGATTGGTAGGACCTTATAATCTGTCGCCTGTTGGCTCATGTGCAAATCCCTAGGATTCTTAATAGGTTATGTACTGTTTGCAGGATCGGTGTAGATGAGTGGTTACGTGTTCCTTCTGTCCCAGATGTATTTGCTATTGGTGATTGCTGTGGATTCCTTGAAAGCACCGGCAAGGAAGTTCTCCCAGCCTTAGCTCAGGTAACTTCATGAACTATCTTGATGCAGTTCAATAGTATGAAAGCATTTTGTCAAGTTACTGTCTCAGAAAAAAAAGGGGCTTTTGTATTGTTTCCTCTTTCCTGAAGTGCAATAGAACTGGGTGGACACTTGGGTTGTTGGGCATGACATAAAATAAAATTGAACAGATGGTTATACATCCCATCAAATTGCAGACACTTGGGTTGTTGGGCATGACATTAGACTATCTCTTTGCGATGCTGCATTCTACTGATTTTGTTCCCCACTTGTACTCCTGAACAGGTTGCCGAGCGGCAAGGCTTGTACCTCGCTCGCCTGCTCAACCGTGTGATGAAAGCTGGAGGAGGGCACGCAAATTCCCAGGTCGAAGTCGATCTAGGTCCAAAGTTTGTGTATAAGCATCTAGGGAGTATGGCAACCGTTGGAAGGTACAAAGCTCTGGTGGACCTGAGGCAAAGCAAGGTTGGTTGCTCTTCCCTTCTTTGTGAATCTTTGCAGTAAACTAGACGCTCAGGAGTCAAACTGAGCGTGTCTTTTCCCTATTCGCAGGACTCGAAGGGCATATCCATTGCAGGATTTGCAAGCTGGTTCATCTGGCGCTCAGCGTACCTGACTCGTGTTGTCAGCTGGAGAAATAGGCTCTATGTGGCTATCAACTGGCTGACCACGATGATATTCGGCCGTGACATAAGCCGTATCTAGGGTATCTATCTGAGTATCTGTAGATCTCTGGGCTCTGAACTGTATGAGTTCGATACAATATATAGGCCACGAACACTACAAGAAATATGGGTCTAGATCATCTTTTTTCCCCTCCTGCTCCTCTGTATCCCCTTCAGACACGTGAGTTCCAAATGCACAATTTTTGTTTTTGTAAATTATGAATAAATGAGATGCAATTTGATGATCTTCAAGTTACTTGGTGTGTGGACGATTGAATACTTATGCAACTGTAGTTTCTTTGCTCGGGAATGAGTGATCGGTCTCCAAGAACCTCACTATACACATTGTAAACGTCCGGCGAATAAATGCAAAACCAAGATAATGGAACATAATATCAGGAAGACTACACGAACCATCAAATGAAACAATGCCATAGTTGGGTGTTTCTTTAGAGGTTCCATTTCCAGTTCGTTGTTTTCTACTTGCAATAGTGTACCAAGTTTTAACTTGCTCTCATGAGAAAAAGAACTTCTATTTCATCATCTGCTAGCAAAAAACATTGCGAAAATGATGAGTTGGCTTGCCGCCAGAACTATCAGTGAATGAAATATATGCTTTTGAGAGTAACTTATGTTGGAGTATAAATGAGCATAAAAGATCAGGCTTGGCTTCTCAAGCAACAAAGGCAATATTTCCATCCATTTTCTGGGTATTTCATATACCATCATATATAACCTCTCAGTTTGATACTTTGATGACCAGAGTTTCTATGAATTATAAGCAGTCCATAGAAATCTCATTGCTCTGAATGCACATTTTGGCATCCAATCAACAGGGAAAATTTCATCCCACAACAACCCTCGACATTTGGCTTGACCAACAGTTTGACAGACTAAAGAGGTACAACAGGCCCCAGGGGGACTAAACAGAACCATTCTAGTAAAAAAAATGGAAAGGGAAAGAACATTGTTACACTACAACACAGCGGATACCATCCAAAGAAACGAAATGGAATAACTGGAATCAGCAACATTATCAAGTTCAAAGAAACTCCGCGACCGAGAAGGTCTACATCCTCCGCCTCTTGTTGCGCTGTGGGGGAGCACCATCCACATCTAAAGAAGCCAACGCACTGCTCCTCCCCCTCCTCCTCAGGGTTCTCGAAGAACCTGCGTTACTAGGCTCTCCCGCCGTCTCAGAAACACCTGCATCCCCCTGTATCACTGCAATGGTGCTCGAGTTTGATGCTTGGTCTGTAGAAGGCGCTGCACCAACATGGGTTCCGTCGACGGTTGCCTCGGGATTCAAAGGGTTCGACGATGAAGCAGATCCTCCGTATTGGCCAGGTGTAGCTAACCTTCTAAGGTATGAAGCAGATGCTCCGTGTTGGCCAGGTGTAGCTATCCTTCTAAGGTCACTCATGGCAGTTGCCAATCTTTCTGTATTTGCAATGCCAATAAGAGTAAGCCGTTGCAACAAATCAAATCCTTCTGGTAAAACCGGGCTTGAACCATCTCTAGGTGCATCTGGCGCACTATTTCCAGGCAGACCACTATCAGGGGCAACAAAAGCACCATCAGGAGAGTTATCTACCTCGCTCAACAACCGTCTTGCTCTCATCCTTGTGGTCAATCTACTTAGGCGGCCAGTGTGTGGAGCAATGTCACCTGTTTCATGCACAGCTGGTTCAGACGGGCCTTCGAATCTACTCACACTACTCATGATTTGTTGATCAAGAAGGCGCCTCCACGATGACAGTATCCCATGTGCGTCACCAAGCCTTCTTGACATTGGACGTAAGTGCTGGAACTGCTGCCGGAAACTTTCAAGACGATTCCCATGTGGCCTTGGTGGGATTGTAAGACCTGGCTGCTTGCCTTCATCCACAGCCTTCTCTGCATCTGAACAAGAATTCCCTCTACCATAGATAGGAGTGATATTCGCCTCCGTCACCTCGCCCTTGCAGACTGGGCATTCCTTGTGGTTGGAGTAAACATTAAGCCATTGGTATAAGCAGGGCCAGCAGAAGAGATGGCCACAAGAAGTGACCACCGGCTCTCCGGCCATCTCAAAGCATATGTTGCACTCAAATGTGGCGACACTCTTGCCCCGCTCCTCCGACTCCTCCGAGGCACCTACTTCCACTCCATTGCCGGTTACCTTATCATCTCCAACGACATCAATTGTCGGCTCATGATGTGGCACCGGCACTGCTGCATCATGATGCCCCAAGGGTTGAGCCTCGGAGCTGAGCGGTGGAAGGTCCGATCTAAACCGCCCGGTGGGCCTAGAGCGGAGCCACCGGCTTCCTGTCTGCTCAAGCAGCTGCCTGTACCTTGTTGCAGCGTCGGGGAGAAAGGAGGAGGAGGCCGTCGATGAAGACGGGCGGTCCTCCCAGAGGAACTCGCTGGCTCGCACCAGCGATGGCGGGGGGTGGAAGCCGAAGCCGATGTCGTCCGGGAGCTCATGGATGACCGGCGGCAGAGGCGGCGCGTACGGCAGGTGCGCGTCCTCGGGGTGGTACGAGGAGTACACCTCCGGTGGCGGGGGAGACAGGTCGGCGCGAGACGGGGAGTAGGGGGCATGCGGGGGCTCCGGAGGCGGAGGGGCGTCGACGGAGGCGGCGGAGGAGGAGGGCGAGGAGGGCATCGGGGTGCTGAGCGCGAGGTCGGAGCCGAGGTCGGAGCGGCGGGACCGCGGGGCGCGGGGGAGGCCGAGGTACAGGTTCAGATCCATCCTCCTGCTACTTCCCGCAGCCTCATCGGCGTCCATCCGCCGGCGAGGCCCCGCCCCAGCTTCCTCCGGGTAACACCAGGTCGCCTCCTCCCCACCTTAGCATGGCAGGGCGGCGCGAGAGGCAAACCCTATGTCGGGGAGGTGGCGCGGCGCGGGGGGGCGGCTCGTCATGGATGGGATGGACTTGCCGTGGCGCCCCCTCTCCGGCGCTATTCCAGAGGATTGGCTGGCGAGGGCGGCGGCGGCGGCGGCGGCGGCGGCGGTGGAAGGGCGCGGCCTCGCCCGAGGTGGAGGGGTCCGGCTGGGCGGAGGCGCGGGTGGGGGTGGGGATGGGGAGGCGCCGAGGAGGGGGAGAGGGAAAAGGTAGCAGCAAAGCGGTGCGGGGAAGAATTGCCTTTCTATTGCCGTCTAGTATTGCCTACCGCGCAAGAACGGCATGCTGCGTCACGTTAACAGCTGGTCGCTAACCGCTTAACCGTAGACCTTTCATCCACAGCTGTTTTTTCACCAATTTACCTCGAGTGGAAACTATAGCCATCTAGCCAGGCTTGCAAACACACTCCATGGCGTAGCCGGGCACGAAGAGGAAGAAGAAAGGAAAATATAATAAAGAAGAAAAGGGGAGTGGAAAAGGAAGGCCGTGACGGAGCACGAGGTGAAGGCGGTTGTCGAGGGAGGAGGGGCGTGGAAAGGCCGGTAGATGGTGAGAGATGGGAGGCATCGGAGAAGAAGAGGGGGGAAGAAGAACGGCGAGGGGTGGTCAAGAGAGTGTTTTGGCACTTTTGCGTATTCTTGTCAATTTGTCGTTTTGTGACATCTTATTACATATTTTTCATACATGTCAGTTGCATGAGCCGTGTTTGTGTCACTGTATATGTATCATTCTTGGCCAGGTTATGATAATAAATAAACTTGTAATGTCAAGGTGTAATAATAGTAGTAGATATGTAAATAAACCTGACAAACAAAAAAAGGTGTCTTATTTAGTATGAGCAATTTTATGACACAACAAAGCTAGAACTCTACTTTTGAGCTGATGTGAGCGATGTCGCATTGATGCATTCCTTTTTAGCACACGCTTAGTCTTTAACACCTTATAAACGCATGTATTTTCTCTCTCGCATGCACACTTGCCCAAATATTACATGTTCCGAATTCTCTTTATCTTTGCAAACATGCCTTCTTCCCGTTTCATACTTTCTATGCTTTAGTTTAAAAAATATTTTCTCTATGCTTCTAAATCCTATACGACTACCCCTATATGCTTGGTCCCCTATCGTTTTTTCGAGCATGGACATATGCCGTCATCCACACTATTTTGTACCACACTTTTGGCCAACTCCCTAAAACCATACCACTATGCAGACCACGTATGAAGGTAGAAACTATTCGGCTTTCAGAACTAAAAATCCTCGTTCAAAATTTTGCGAGAGTTTCCTTGGGATATTGAGTAGAAAAATGTAGGTGTATCGCTTTAAAATTGTGTTTTATTGAGCTCAATCGCTTGTGGAAGACATGGCGGCGCATTCCAATGATGTTCCATAGGATATAGCTAGTGGCGACAATGGCAGTGAGCAGTGGTTGTGGAAGGATGCGGTCTTGCCAAGGCTGGGGGCTGGGAGGAGGTGCATGGGGGATGAGGAGAAGCCAAGGAGGATGAGAGAAAAAATGAGGTGGCAAAGCAGCGTGGAAGAAAAAAATATTACGCCTATCATAGGAGAACATCTTGCCTATCACCATGTTTAACATTTTGTGAGTCTTCTGACCTATGTGTCACAATTGTTAGGTCCAGCTGGGATGCCACATCTGCGGGTTTTTTCCTGATGGTTTTTCTGCACGCCGAACCGCACCGCCTAACTTCTCCCGGCTGACCAGGCTCAATATGATCGCACCAGAGCAGCTTGCCAGCGCCCGATGGCCAAGTCGCCCATGTCGGGGACACACCACACTGGCCTCCATTATTCACGACACACATCGCTCGCATTCCAATCGTTAGGCGGGATAGGACAACGTAGATGACGAGTGGCAGGCAAGACTTCAAGGCGTGGCCGTTGGCGATCGTCGAAGCGAGCGGCAGCTAGTACGGCAATCTTCTCCCTTTGACCGCATCCTCTATTTCTCACCCTTGGTGGTTAGCTTCTTTGTGGCTAAATTTTCTCTCAGACTGGGATGCATATTAGATGGGCTTAGGATACTTGTTTCCAGTTCAAAGAAGTATTGTGATGAGATGATCATACTTGATCAGCGTGGCATGTTCCCATTGAATAAATTATATAGGAGAAAATGTACTGATATAATCTGAAATCATGCATGTTTTTCTTTAATATTATCATATACGACCTTAAGTGTGCATGATTCAGTGGATGAGATTAAAAGTGGTGTAAATATACTTTTTTACTAACTCTGATGCATGCGCCTCCATCGAGTCTGGCCGATCGAGAGAAGCTAAGTGATGTGATTTGACGTGCAAAAAAACCATCAGGAAAAAACGGCCGATGTGGCATGCCAGCTGGAACTGACAATCGAGACTCATCGACGGGTAGAGCGCTAAAAAAATTTAAACAGGGTAAATTGTGACAACACTTTTGCTATATGGGGTAAAACGGATGAAATCCCGTTAAATAGGGTAATTAGTGTCAAAATATAGGGTAAAAACAAGAATTCACTCTTAAAAATAGTATTACGAAAGCAATGGCAAACTGAATCTTGGCTTGCAAAATTAATGAAGCAGTGAATTTCAAAAAATATGTGAGTTAGACGCACAAATTTCAATCTTAATCCTGACACCAATTTTAGAAGATTACAACAGTTTTGACACATTATATTGGAAAATTAAATTTTTGTGTTTGGCCCCACATGTCAGCCTCACATATGAGCAAGGTTATTTTGAGGATGACAGGTAGTACCAGATAACTTTTTTGTAGTTATCTCAAATTGACATCAAAAGTTGTAGTTTTCTGATAGGAGATCACAAATAGTTGTTGTTTTCTGAAATTTTGTTGTGTGTATTGGATGGAGATGGAACTTGCAGGTGGGCCTCTGTAGTGCTACAGAATCGCTAGGTGCACACCTTGAGGATGCACATCAGAATGGTCTGGGAATAGAAAAGAAGAACTCAAATAATATACTAGGGGTAACCAAACCATTTTATAAAATGAGGTCATTATATCATCTATTTGTTCATTTCGCATCCATCTACCCAAGCAGAAAATGAAGCCGCCCTGTCCATCATTCATCCCTCATACGAAACAAAAAATGGCTCATGTCACCCCTTCATTAAAAGAGCAACAAAGGCCGACATATTCTAGAAAACAGGGATGATCATGTCCTGTTCCACTTTGACCCCAAAACAAATGCACCCAACATGACATTTCCAACTATTTTGATTTTCTCCTTATATGAGTACTACTAGTAGTAGTAGACAACACTAAAGATATGTGGGGGATATAAAGAATTCTGGGTCCCACAATAAAGATATGCACAATGAAGGAACGGTGGAGGCTGTGTGACACATGGCTCTTACACAGCTCTCTGCAAGGGTTACTTTCTTGATCGTTTCTCCTCAAGCACATCATAATATAGCTATATGGTGGGATCGGTGGCAGCAGTGAGTAAACAACGACCAAGATTGATGGCCAATTTGATAAAAATCCCAGCTTATAAATATAGCACTTCGCTACCCAGAATGGTGTGCTTGTTCATCTCTTCATAACTATTCCACTAAATCCACAAACACCGATGTCACCACCACCACCACAAAAGCAGTAGCAACATCGTCGTAGGTAGAAATGGGAAAGTTAGTTTCACAACCGGATCTAGGTTTGGGCGCAAACCGCTCTTCGTCTTGCCGCTTACCGGTCAGGTGTCAGGCACAGACATGTCCGTGACCAAGGGATCTAACCTTGTCATCAACGACGGAACTATGTGTGCTCCAGGGGGC